TTTTTAATCAGTGGTTGTACTACTGCATGTTTAAAATTTTCAGGGACCACACCTGAGGTCAGACTGCTATTTATGACTGCAATAACAGATGGTCCTACAGTGGGGAAAACCTCCTTAAATAGTCGAGGGGGGACAGCATCATTTGGAGAACCTGAGGGCTTCAAATGACCAACAACCTCCTGTAAAAAGGAAAAAGTCACAGGCTCAAAATGGTCAAAGACAGCAGAGCAGGGGACAGAGATTGAGGGGTCATAAGCTGAAGGTGAGATTTGAGCCCTAATTGAAGTGACCTTATCAATAAAAAAGTGAAGGAAGTTTTCACACACAGCAGGGGACGCCTCAATACAGGCAGTCTGCGGGGCATTCAGAAGTGAGTCAATAGTGTTAAACAAAACACGAGGCTTGTGACAGTTTGACAGGATAATATCCGAGAAATGTTTTCTTTTAGCATCTTTCACAGTTTTCTGATTACGCCAGCAGTCCCTTAACATCTGAAAAGACACCTGAAGTTTGTCCTTCTTCCACTTGCGCTCAGCTCTACGGCACTCACGCCTGACCGCATGAGTCGTGTCATTTAGCCAGGGCTCAGATTTAGTTTTAGGCTGCCTGGATTTTAATGGAGCCACAGTGTCTAAAACAGTTTGGCAGGTGGAGTGAAACCATGAGCTAAGCTCCTCTGTATTGCACACAGACTCAGGAAAGATGGAGTTCTGATAGAAAGCAAACGAGAACTGAACAGCAGTGGAAGGGTTAATAATGCGACAGAGCGGAGCAGCAGCGCGAGGTTTAACTGTATGACAGGCAAGAGCAGCCTCAAATAATACAGGCATATGGTCAGAAAACACTGCGTCACATATCTCTAGGTTAAAAACGGGCAAACCATATGATAAGACAAGATCAAGTGTGTGTCTGTGTTCTTGTGTTGGCAGCTAGGACACAGACACATCCTACAGTGCAAGTGTGTTAAGAGAAGGACTACAAAAGTTATAAACTGCAGTGGGGTTTATGTCTGACTAAACACACAAAAGGCTGCTGCTCACTGACAGCTGAAGTTCATCATAGTACTTCTGGGTTAGATTTGTTTTCTGTAGATTTACATTAAGTTACCATTATCTTTTGTCTCCTGGACTACTGTAACAGACCATATTCTGGTACCTGTCAGAGCTCTGTCCACCAGCTCCAACTGGTACACAACACTGCTGTCTGAATAATAACTGGCACCAAAAACAAAATTAATAACACTACCACTTGTGTCCACAGGTGACTAAAATGAAAGTTCCTTGTAGGGGCTTCAATATTACGTATTTTCCATCAACACAGAACCGGCTCTGTTCTGGTTCATGTACATAGTAATGGAGAACCCAAAAAGTTGGTTCCAAGCTGGAACCTAATAATAGCAGGTTTTCCCCAAGAACCAAAGTAGGCATGCCATATTCTAAAGGTTGTTGTGCCAACGCTCTCTGTTGATGACACATACTTGATGGTTTTGCTGGTGGAAACGTGGCCTGGTTCCAAGAATGTTGAACAGAACCAGTTTAAGAACCAGAGCTAATTTGGTGGAAAAACATGATACAACATATAGTACAGGCATGTACAAATGACACTGTATAATTTCAAAGTCTTCTTTGAGCAATGTTGTGCAATAAAAGCATAGCAACATCATAGAATTTATCAAATTAATTGATCAGCGTTCTACTCTGAAGTGTGACTATGGGGTTGACTTTCACAGAAGAGGAATCTTGCGGCTCACCTGTACTCCTCAGTGTTGGAGCTCCCTGAATGTTCCTGCTTGTATGTTTTGTCATGGTAGTGGTCCGTCCTCCAGGACTCTTGGGGACCCCACTGGCCAGCATCTTAATAATCAGAATAACATACAAGTACCATCTTAGTGGTAGACCGATATGGCTTATATATACATATACAGTTATCTTAGCCAGTAACACATTGTTTTAGATGTAGTTATTTATTAATTAATATAACATAAAAATACATTGGTCTGAGAACGTGACTGGTGTTCAAGGGAGGGTGGAGTACAGTATGTCAGAAGAGATGTAATTTAACTGCATTATTATAACATATATGGCCGATTATCTCAAAATGCTAGTTAACCAGCCCAATTAATCAGTTTATCTATAGTTTTTACCAAGACATGGGGTGTAGTACTCTGCCAATAAAAAAGCTTTGTTGTCTCAGTTGTCTTCACTGTACCTTGTCGTCCGTGCTGTCCTCTATAGTAGTCCTGGTCATAATAACCATAGTTGTCTCTGTAGTCCCAGTGGTTGGGGGGTGGATAGTCATACCCGTGTCTGGAACAAAAAGCTTCTGGTTTCATCATTGCATTCATTCCTTTGCTTTACCTGTTAATCCTTCCATCAAGACGGCACCATAATGTACTGAAACACTCATCTATAGAGATTTTTAGTGGAGTGATCAGATTTCCTCCTCTCGTTTGTCTTCCTTTTTAGCGACAGATGTCTGGTGAGTATCCCAGCACAGAGCAGCACGAAGGCCACCCTGCGCTCAGCCTAATGGATTTACTTGAACCTGGGCTTTTGCACCATCATACTGTCCCCAAATCAGTGCACCATACCAAACATGCATGATTATATACACTGATATTATTATTAACTTCTTCCTTGTATTTAGTTGCAGTCACCTTGGCACTGTACGTACAATAAGGGAAAGTGTGAGATCACTCTTGGAAAACAACAATGATCTATTACTGCACATACCTGGACTGGGGTCTTTGGTGTTCTGGACGGCCATGGCCATAAGCATACTGCTGAGTGCTGTAAGGATACGGCTCCGGTCTGGCAGGAGGACTGGTGAAATGAGTCATGTATCGGGCATCTGGATGAGCCCACTGCCTGTCCCAGTCTCTGGGGTTCTGTGGTGGGTAGCTCTGATCCCGGTCCTGCTGAGAATACCTGTAGTAGTCCTCTTTGTCTTTGGCTCTGTGGGAGTGACGGCCAGAGTCAGGCCGGGGGTGACCTCTGTGATCCATGCTGACCCCTTCACACAAGATCGGCCTACCTTAACACCTTGGGGAGCAGGAGTTTGTGCCTGTAGGGGACCCTTATTCCAAAGTAAAATCCACACAAAGAAATGTGTTTTTGTTTAGGTCCTCACAGCTCTGAGGCCCAGTCAAAGTACATCCACTACTGCCACATCATTTCACAGGGAAGTCACAACATGAGCTGATAACAAGTCAACATGATAACAAGAGGATAAAGTTCACAGAATACAGTGGCCCATATAATAAGTGCTGCTGCTGCACTGGGACCAGTGCTACAGAGAGTGTCCCAATGAGAGGAAAAAACTTACCAAAGGGCACTTTCTAAAAATCAAAGTCATGTCAGTGAGGGTATTACTGTGCATACTGTTTGCTCTCTGTGTGTCTCCCGGGCTGGGACAGTAAACAGTGGAGCACGCCCTGAGCGCTCTGACAGCTGCCGACAGCTGGAAAAGAGGAAATCACGTCCATCTTCAGGATGACTCCAACAAAATAAAATCCCGTCAGCCTGTTCTGCTTCGTCCCGACATTACTGAGCGGGTCCTCGCATTGTTACTTACATGTGGAAAAAACATTTAAGTGTTGAGTCCTGCCACGTTGCCGGTACGGAAGATGCACAGTCTGTTCGGTTGAGCTGGTCTCCGGTCTGTTTCTGTGATGTTTCTGTGCAACGGGGCCGCAAGGAAACTGATCCCTAGTCAGTGACAACTTGGAGGCTGAACTTTTCTTGTAGTAAAAAAACGTTTATGTTACGTTCCCGGCAGAGGCGCTCTAACCCTAATATCCTGTGGATATACTATTGTTCCTGTCACTTACTTTTACATTCATTTTGTATCAACCTCTGGGTGAACGAATAGACTGACCTTTCATATGGGACACTGTACCTGCACTGCAGACAAACATAAGTGCCTCACACTCATAAAGCAATAATGTATTAGAATTGTGCCTTTTTTGTGTACATATATAGCAACATCAACCAAAGCACACACTGAGGCAAAACTTCTCAGATGTAAAACCATATTTTGTATATAAATAAACGTAAAAGCATATTGAAATTAAAATGATTTATCATCTTCACAGCAATACACTCATTTGAATGTTTTTTTTAAATGTTAGCTTCTTGTGTATATTCGTTTTGGTCCTTGTTTTTCTTTTTTTGCATAAATGTCCTCTTTATATTCACAAATGTGTACGCTTGTGACAAATTAACATACTACACTACATGCCATAATAATAATAATAATACATTTGCTGGAGTCGGATATGTTAACTGTTAACTAACACTTTTAAAATTGTATTTCTAATAGTCTGACAGCTATACAGGCTTTTCATATTCTTATATTTTTGAACCTTCATTATTGGCATAAAGAACTCTCTACTGCCTCCTGCTCATGCGTTTTATACACTTTATAAGTTAATAGTTCTGGATTCTGTATTTTGGAGAGAAAGGGCACAATTACCAATTTTATGGGGAGTAATAGAAAAGTAATATAACTATTAGTGTAACGAATTACTGTTTTCAGAGAGTAATAAGTAAAGCAATAATATTATTTTTGAAAAGAATAATGAGTAATAAATTTCATTTTTTGAGTAAGTATCCCAACACTGTTAGGGACATAACTGTTTGATTATATTGCACAAGCTGTTTGGAAAGACAAGATATTACATCAGCAAGTACAACTTTTTTGAGTATTAAGTGTTTCATTTGGAGCTGCAATATACAAAAATTATAGCAGACTCCTAACGACTCACTTCTGATGACTTGGCTTTGTGTGCGCTGGTTCCTGCTTCTCACTGGAAATCTAAAACTGATGTAATCCCCTCTTAAATTCAAGTCAGAGCTGTTAGTGAGTGATGAACGGTTTCCTGTATTTGTCAGTAACCTGTCACGACCACAGGGTGTCGCTGTATCCACAAAGACCGGCTGAAAACGGAGCAGCGCGTCCATGTGACCGGTGGGACCGGTTTATTATGCAGATGAGTTGTGGTGACAGAGGCTTTTACTACTGGAGACATTGGACATTGGACACACACTGAGAGTCTCAGCTCACAGAAGCAGTCGGGTTTCGCTCTGGATATTGTTCAACAGCAAACCGCTCGGATGTGCAATATGACTTTTGAAGAAACCGGTGGAGATACTTCTTCAGAAAGGTTAGCTTGTGTTGCTTTGTGCACCGTTGCTGTATTTGTCTCGCTGGTTCTGCGTTTGCTGCAACTTGTTTTTGATGTGAATTTCACCGTTTTTAAGACGCTTTAAAAACGCTTTTAAGTGCAAATGCAAATGCTCTAACGTGTTGTTATTTATAACTGGTACTTGCTATTTGAAGCGAGGTTTGTCTCATATCGTCTGTTCTGACTGCCATTCAGTGATATTTGGTCTCATATACTGTAACGTCAGCTACCACAAGTGCAACGGTCAGCTAACGCCAAGCTAACTTTATAATTACGCTAGCTATTTGTTTCAGCTAGCGTTAGCGGTACCTGTTCATTATCTCGGGGTCAAATCAGAAATATTCTTATTGTTAAGTCTTGCGGTGTCTTATCGGACATGCAACGTTACATCATGAGCTACCATTCATGTCATGTGAATAACTTTTCCATTATATAATATAATAACATTCTTAATATCTAAAAATGACGTGTGTTCTTGTGTGTTGTTCTGGCTGATTTTCCAATAATATGTCAAATACAATGTCTTCCTCAGGATGGACTCGGTGGCTAAAGCATTAGAGGAGATCCTGAGCTCTGCGTTACCTCAGGGTTGCATCACTGTTGGAGTCTATGAGGCAGCAAAGTCACTAAACGCGTAAGTGAATAATACAATGACTCCTGTAGCATGAGCTCTAGTAAATCTACAGTGGATAAACGTGAGCCCTTTTCCTCACAGCTCTTTCTCTTTGCTGCTTTCAGGGATCCAGACAATGTGGTGCTGTGTCTGCTGGCCACAGACGATGAGGAGGATGTGGCTCTCCAGATTCATTTCACCTTAATCCAGGCTTTCTGCTGCGAGAACGACATCAACATCCTGCGGGTGGGCAACACCAGGCGTCTGGCAGAAATACTTGGAGGAGTGAAACCTGGAGGGGAGCCCATGGACCTGCACTGCGTTCTAGTTACTGTAAGTGTCGTTACTCATGTCTGTTTACCATCGCTGCTGTATGTTGCTCACTTCCCCTCAGACTGAGAGCTGTTTTGCCCTGAGCCACTTTTAGTACTGAGGTCATTGTCGGTGCTTGCAACGAGCTGTTGCTAGCAGCGGTTGTGCAACATGAACAATTTCAGTCTGTTTGCACATTTCATAAATCAGCAGATGTTAACTGCTTTGCCCCTTCTCCTGCAGAATCCTCAGTCGTCACCGTGGAAGGACCCCGCGCTGAGCAAAGTGAACAGATTCTGCAGAGACAGTCGCTGTTTGGATCAGTGGGTGCCTGTCATCAACCTGCCCGACCGATGAAACCACTTGGAATATTAATGTATTGTGTGCATTGGGGAAAAGTAACTGCACAAGGCCTGTGTTAATGTCTGTGTTGGACTCCTTTGGAAAGTGCCCCAGAGAGAGAGAGAGAGAGAGAGAGAGAGACGGGAGGGGCAGAAAAAAAAAGGACTCAAGGAAGCAAAATGTTCCAACAAATTTTCCAGGTCAGGGCGAAATCGTGGGCCAAGGAAGAGTGACTCAGCAGTCTGGGTTCCAGGATTTCCAATGTATGACTGCGCCTTTCTCTGCCGAGAAAGAAGCCTTTACAGGAAACTGAATCATGTGAGTGGAGGAGCCCACGTGGTGGTGAGCACAAGCGCGGGACAGAGGAAAAGCAGACAGAGAGCCCCAGTTGACTCTGAGAACTGGACCATGCTGATGTTGACCAGTCAGAACTCTCGGCTCGAAGGGCTCCTTGTGAAAATTTGACCAAATCTAAGCATTTCTTTAACAGCACATTTATTTAATAGTATTTAAGACTTTGACACTTTGATAACTCAAAAGGGAAACTTTTCAGTTTATTATTATTATTATTATTATTATTATTATAATTTTAAGGGCAATGCAATGTTTAGACTTGTCCACTAACTGGTGTTTTTATGTGTTATTAATTTAATGAGTTATATTTATTGTGCATAGTTCATGGAATTCTGCCTTGTTAAGTTGAATGAAATAAACAAAACAACCAACAGTTCACTGGGTGTTTTTGCCTCAATGATTTCCAGCTACTACAGGTTCAGCGTGTTCGTAGGAAGTCACACAGTGTCCCAAGGAACAGGGCATGCCTCTCGCGCCCACATAACATATGAAGCTCAGCGTGCTGCCTCACAGGGTTTGGATTTTGTCCCGGCATGCTACTGGGCAGGTTTAAGTATTTACTCGACACATCTCTAACCTTTTCAGCAGCTTCCATCTCTTGGACCAAAAGCAAGCTAGTGTTCTGTTAAAGTGATTACCACCTTTTTATTTCCAACTAAAAATAGTAACCTGTTCTGGCCCAAATCTGCTGCTGGCATGCAATTCCTTGAAATCAGCTTTCCTCTTGCATGGGAACTGTAGTAAAATGTGACCTTTTGCACATTTTGAGGGTCCAGTTACATTGAGGGGAGGAGAATTCCCATTGTAGTATGTATCTGAGTGGGGCTCATCTTGACGGCTCATTCTTCACAGCCTTCTGCATCTACGCCATCAGAGCTAAATTTACTGCTGAGTGGATTAAAAATAGCAGAGAGGCAAGAAGACAAAACTTGCTGAAGACCCATTCCAGACTGTGCAAAAAGAGAAAACCAGAAATTATTGGTGCTTGCACAGTGGGGAGGGACAAAGCCTTCTACACAGAGGGTCACAAGACAATGGATGTATGAGTCAGGGCTATTCAGGCCTCCATTGCTAGAGCTGTACAGTACTTTAGCTTCACGGCAAAAAATAGCCCCTGTGAATAGAGGCGCCCCCCGACCACTGACAATACTTGTAATTAACAGGCAGCATACACAGAGAGAGGCTGACCTGCTGCAGAGATGTCCATGTGCAACAACAATTCTCTCCAGTGGTGCTATCAGGTGGTGAATAGCAGATGGGGAGGAAAAAAAACTGGGTCAAAATGCTGGACTGCCTGGAAGACTGGGGAGGAGTGTGGGGTGTGACCGGGTTGCAGGAGGGTTTGTGTTAAATTGGCCTAAGTTAAAGAGTGCCGTTTGCAAATGTGGTAAAACTGTGCACAGAGGCCAAAGACAGTTCCACAGTCTAGGGCAGAAGACTCTAGTTACACTTTTCCAATGACTCTGAGATTTTGCTGCTGGCTTTATGGAAGCTGACAATCAGCAGAATTAAAATGTTATTTTAGTCCCAAGTGCTAGGTGAGACACAAAAAATGTGTAAAGAAAAAAAAGGTCTGAGATGTTTCCCTGGAAAGTGGAAAATAACACCAGAAATACCCGAGCAGGATGAGTGTAACATGACACATGAAGGCCAATTTGATCATTAAAAGCAAGAACCACTTTTTTTTCCTAGACCAGAACCTTCTTGTCACACAGGGAGGGGCCACTAAAAGTAGATGAGATATTGGAGATACTTGATAACTGGCTTATCCTGGAGCTTCTCCACTGCACTCGCAGGTAATACAATCACTGCAAACAACACTGCGACAAAGCCTGCGCTATCCATCATCTGACTCAAGTGGGGGTTACATCAATGTGGGCCAACAAATATGACCTGACCTGATTGTGGATGTAACATCACACCTGAGGAGAGTGAGAAAAGAGAGAAAGGGTTGCCCAGAGGAGCAGGGATTATTGCATAACAGGCTGGTCCTGGCTCAGGGGCACAGAGGAACCTTCGCTGAGAAATTAGAGCAAGCGAGAATGTTTATGTGCTCCTGACCTGATACTAGAGACACTTATCCACTTGTTTGAAGATAGCGACCTGTGATGCCGACAAAGGAATGACAACAGGCCTAGTTAAAGACTAATTATGCTAACAAGTGTAGATTAGGTCAAACTGCTTTTGGCAGAATAGGTATCTCTTTTTAGCTCCAAATAAACTACAACCAGAGAGTGAACACAATATAGTATACAAAGTAGGAATGAATGTAATGCAAGTAGCAGATTGTCTAGTTTTTCCCGTGTGAACGTTTACAGGAAGTCAGGCCACTTCGGTGAAATTGAATGTGGTCGGGAACAACAAACTGAAACTGTAGGCAACTAGCCTCTGGCTATCTGGGATCCTCTGTTGGCATTCCATTTCACATTGATCAAAAGCAACAGCCTGAACATACCTAAGTGCCTGTAAGTTTAATTTAAAAGCAGCATGCTTTGATTTAGTGAGCCACCTTATAAAGCTGATATGGCAAACATGTCTGCAAGAATTATCTAATCATTGAGCAGATGAAGCCAACATTAGCATTCATTTAGAGTTGTTTCTGTGCAGCTGATGAATGAAAGTCCAATTTTCACTTTCTTTTTAGCTCAGTTTTTGGTCACAAATTAAGATATCTGGTTCTTTAGCTGCTAAATACACTGTGTACACCAGCTACTTGCTAACTTTGTCCGGTATTTGATGTTGGGCAGATAGTGTACAGTAAGTCTGCTGCAGCTAGAAATGTGATTGATGAGAGCGGTCAGAGGGAACCAAAAGTTGTGAAGTACAGTTGTTTGCTGTAAAAACCAAAACAATGAGCTAAAAGATGCCAAAAAGCACTAAAAGACTCCATAGTCTCAATTCATCCTCCACACTCCACCATAAATATATATTTTTTCTTCTTACATTAGTTTGAAAAAAAAAAAAAAACCTGAGAGAAATAACTTGTTTCCATAAGTTTATTTGCATTTATCACAAACAGGTAAAGGCAGGATATGACCTACAGGAAGTTACCTACACTCACCAGGCGTGACAAACCACAAACATTTTAATGTAATTGTAATTAACTAGTAATATTCACTAGTAAAAATCACCCAAATACACCATTAAGCCAAACACCACATTCAGTTTTAATTCAGAAAGTTGAATTAATATCGCAAAAATTCAAAGTTGTGGTTTGACTGAATCAGTACAATCCTATAAAGTACATTAAACAGTTTAAAGCAAGCACATACTGTGGATCATGGACGTACATACTGCGCTACAATATTGATGGACATATGAGATATATCTTGATACAATTCATTACTGAACATGAGTCATTTTGAAATATGATGTCATACGTGGAATTAATAGTAAGATATTCTCCCTTTACCTAAGGGGCTTGCTTATTCACAGTATTAGACAACAGCACTTGTGTGACTAAAAAGGTAGTCGAAAGGTTGAAGCCGCATCACTTCATAAGGCCCTGGCTGGTAAAATTGCTAAATTAGTTCCTTATGTTCTGCATAAGCACCAACACACAAATGACATAAAGTCAAAGCTACACACTGCCAGTCATACGTTTTTTATAATAAAATCAAAGTATATTTTGGAGCAGTTGTAAACATGGAATGTTTCAAACTCGAGTATAACAGTCATTTGGTGTTTACAGGTTTCAAAGTGCCTGAATAGTAATAACAGTAGTAGAAATAAGCCTCAGCTCTGCGGACAGAAAACTGTAAGGATATATATAAATATATATATATATTGAGATACTGAAAGTCTAATTGGTAGATCTGATAAGATGGCACAGATTGGTCTTGAATCCTTTTTTCAGCAATGATGGCCTCATAATAAATTTTTCTTTATACAAATCAAGACATACATCATGCAGAAAGGTCATGCATAATGTATAGTTCATACTGGTACTGTTTCATTTTTAGAGAAAGTAAGACTGGACATTTTACATATATTTTTAAGGCAAATGCAAACAAAAAGAGTGAAAAAAATACTTGTTTTGTCAAGAAAATTAACCCTCTGGTATCGAAACCTCTCTTCAGCTCTGCATTGGATTCAATTGAAGTAGGTATTGAAAGTCTGTAACAGCTACTAGCTCGGAGGACAGCTAGAGAAAACTGATCCGAAAATCCAATCAACAATAGAACTGAATTATTTGTGTCGGCAAAGGTTGAATTGTCAGGACAATTTGAACCAATTTGATTCCCCTCTCTGTGCTAGGAGAGTGCTGGGAACAATTTAATGGCCAATTTTAAAAACTGATTTTTGTCATTACATAGCAAAATATGAAGCAGGAGATGTGCATAGCTGGCAACGAACCTCCACTCTTTCCATTTGTCTTTATGTGATGAACGGCACAGTTCACTTGTCCAACGACAGGATATCATTATCACAGGGACTCATTATCAGTAGCAGACAAACTAAAACAACTGTTTCCTGAAGCAAGCCTGATGAAAGTAGAGGTGAAAGCTGAAAGCCTAAATCTGCCTGGACCAATGATTGAGGGGGCTTGTTTATGGACGCTGTGATAATTATAGAGTCAGGAACTCTCCCATCCATGGCACAGCTCTTTTCAGGTCTGTGGCCTTGTCAGATAACAGTACAGAAAAACTAAAGTCACCACTGAACCTTCATACAAACTTTTAATCATCTTAGTTTGAGCTAAAGCTTTGATCCGAGGCCACAACTTCAGACTTCTGCCTGTTCTTTGGTGTAACTAACTGATATCTGACTGTGAGGCAGAGAGGAATACATTCCTTCAACTGCAGCAGCAGGCATGTGAAAAGGTTGGGTGCGAGGTGATACACTGGCCTTAAGATAAGTTAACAGTATTACTATTACAGCTTTTTTTCCACATAAGAATCAAAAGGAAAGCAGCAAGTGCTCAGGTATTCCCCTACAAAACAGTGCAAGGCTTCTTGTCCTTGAAAGGGTTTTCTGAAGCGGGGATGCCCATGAGCAGCGGGTCATTCTTGGCATGTTCTCCACAGTAGCGCATCAGGTCTGCCGAAGCCTTGGACACCTGCAAAATCAGTCCACACACTGATCACCCTTGACATACAGGTAGTAGAAGTAGGACACTCAGAGTGGTGTGAATGAATAAAGGTACCTTTATCCTCTCGATGCTGGCCTCTATCCTCAGCTGCTGCACCGTCCGCCTTGCCTGAGCTATGCTACTGGAGCTCTGCATTTTTGATGACATTGCAGTATTTCGACAGCTGTGCTCAATCCTGCAATAGGGAAACATACATACACTTACTGTACTTACATTAATTAGTGTAGAGATGCAGTTTGGTATTTGTACAAAGGAAACCAACAAAGCCACAGTGTCATAAATCT